TAATGCCACAACATTTAATTGCTGAAATTCTAAGTAAAAATCATATTCTTAGGACATTTTAGTTTCTTCTAGTGATAGTGATGGATAGTGTTTTCTTTTTAAAAGTTTAAACTAGCGGCCGGCCCAGTGGCATACTGGTTAAGTTCGCGCGCTCCGCCTCAGTGGCCCGGGGTTCGCAGGTTCAGATCCTCACCGCCAAAGGGCCGCTGCCGCAGTGATTTCCTTCGAGGATTGGGAGATACAGGGCATGGATGGGCAGAAGCCTTTGCAGGTATCAGAAGTTCACATATCAAATATATCTACCGCATGTGCCAATTATGGATGTTACCTTAAATGTGAACATGGCTATTCCTTCTTGCTTGGATATTTTTGGGCTTTCACCAGATTCACAGGAGGATGAACTTGGAATTAAACAGGCAGCAGAAAATGTAAAAGCTTTGATAGAGCAGAGGTGAAGAATGGTATTTCTTTAAACAGAATTATTTGGGGAGGATTTTCTCAGGGAGGAGCATTATCTTCATACACTGCTCTAACCACAAAGCAGAAACCGGCAGGTGTCACCACACTTAGCTGTGGGCTTCCATGGAGGTTGGCTTCCACAGGGTCCTATCAGTGGCGCTAACAGAGATATTTCTACTCTCCAGTGCCATGGAGACTGTGACCCTTTAGGTCCCCGATTGGTTGGTTCTCTTACTGTTGAAAAGCTAAAAACATTGGTAAATCCAGCCAATGGAACCTTCAAAACCTATGAAGGCATGAGGCACAGTTCATGTCACCAGGAAATGATAAATATCAAGCAATTCATTGATAAACTCCTACCTCCAATGGACTGACATCAGTAAGAGGCCTGGTGAAGAAGTACACCAGCCTCATGGTAATAGAGTATGAACCTTTTACTGTGCCTCAACTTGAAACTTCTAATGTTTGTAGTGTTAAAATGTTTTGCAAATACACACCAATGACACAGACTAAATAATGTCTCCTCCTGGGAAATTTATTATCTTTTATGTTTCTGTACAAGTATCGTATCATATGATCCAGAATATACTAGTGTTAAAATAGGTGAAAGAGCTAGCTGCTTCTTCCCAAATGTAACTCAGCAAAATAAAATGCTGCAACCAGGATTTTTACTACATCATTTAAAAATTATTAGTATGCTTAATGAAAACTCGTTCAAGTATAAACAAGCAGTTAAGATATTAATGATTTAAGCATGCTATGACTTAGTCTATGGATTTATTCCAAAATTAGTCACCATGCAGTATCTGTATTTTTATATATGTATTCATATATATGTAATGATTGTAATACATAATAAGAATGAGGTGGTATTACATTATTCCTAATAATAAGGATAATGCTCTTAAGTGTTAATAAAGAGTAATATTGCTTTCTTAAAAAAAAAATTGTGCTTAGGGGCCGGCCCGGTGGCGCAAGCGGTTAGGTGCGCGCGTTCCGCTGCGGCGGCCCGGGGTTCGCTGGTTCGGATCCCAGGTGCGCACCGACGCACTGCTTGGCAAGCCATGCTGTGGCGGCGTCCCATATAAAGTGGAGGAAGATGGGCACAGATGTTAGTCCAGGGCCGTCTTCCTCAGCAAAAAAAGAGGAGGATTGGCGGATGTTAGCACAGGGCTGATCTCCTCACAAAAAAAAAAAAAATTGTGCTTAATAGAGCTCTAGACATTCCGTGGAGTCCCTCAGAGGATGGAACTTTTGTATAAACTTTTCCTTAAAGGATAGAACAAAATAAAGGGACATCTCTTTAAAACATTCTAATGAAATAACTCATGTACCCATTTCACCTATTAGTATAATATTCAAATACCAATAACTTGTAGCTTGGTTCATCAGGGATTCCTTAGAGCCATGTATAAAGCCTAGCGAAGGAAAGCAGGATATGTCATCCCAAAATACGTACCTTTGAGGACGAGTGGAATCTGCAAACAAACCTTACTCCATTAGTTTCTTCCCATATATTTACCTTCCCACAGTTTGCTGCCCTTGGAAGCCTAAAACTGCTTTCCTTTGTCCTGTCACTTCTCTACAAATTTACTGTTCTTTGTTGAAGATGCTAGATAGACCACAGTTCTAGGCTGCTGCCTTGATCACTCTTCCTTTTAGGTTTCTGCTGCATGATGCACACTGCACGAGTTAGTAAACTGTTTCTCTTTTGTTAATCTGTCCTCTTGTCAAAAAGTCCCAGCTGAAAACCTAAGATGGGTAGAGGTAAAGTTTTGCCTCCCCTATACCAGCAGTCATTCAAGTTGTGTCCTCACTGTCTTATGTAGGTAAGATAGTCAACTCGCTCTTGGTTGGCAATTACCCTAGGGCTGGGCATCCCGAGGATTCAGCCGCTTACGTGTCGGCCACCCTGGTAGACTTTCTCCTCTCTAATATTGAAACTGAACACTGAAATTTGCAAATTAGAACCCCAAAAGGCCAAAAGTCTTTGCTTCATACAGAAACACACCAAGAACCAGGTATGTTGAGATTTTCAACTAAAACAAAAAAATAGGAACTTATTTTACATAGCAGTAATGTGCTTTATGTGTGAAGAAATACAGGATCATTTATGTAATATCACAAACCATAATATACCTACATCTTTTTTCTATTAGACTACCTTTTTTCTCAGGAAAGTAAAACATTCAAAATGCTATTAGTTATTTCCTGCATTTTCTGTACTTGAAATCTCAGTGACATTAGATCAGAGTACTACCATCATATTTAAAAATGATTAGAGCTCATTGTGCACTAAACTTGCTAGGGCAAGAAAAATTTGATTTTGACTGATAGTATTCTCACCTGTACAAGAGAAACCTATAGGTTCTAGTCCCTTAGTTTGTGAATCATACCCATTCTTAACGTTACAAATTGTGTGCAGAGTGACTGCACAACTGTACTTTCTTACAGGGAAAATTAAAGCAACAGAGTTTTTTCTATGTGTTTTTTTTCCTACATGCTTTTTTTTTTTTTTGCAATAAAACCTAACCTTACAAATGATTAAAAAGGACTGAAAAATTTAATGTCTGGCTAACATTTACGTGGATAAATACGTTCTTCGCAGTACTCTTGGAACTGCACATGAATACAGATAATGGCTCCCCCAGCTGACTGGGGCTCTTTTCATAAGAGAAGTAAACATATGGGAGAGATGTGAACTTGACTTGCCCTGGCAGGATCTTGTAATCCCTCTGTAATGATGGCTTGGGGGAAGAGCCCATACACCTTTTCAGGTTACTCCCTATATTTACAACAGCTTTCCTATCTATAAGTATTATATTAGAGAAACAGGAATAGACAGGTAATATATCTAAATTTATGTAATAAAGGCTGCATTATAATAAAGTTCTGTTGTACTATCATTTTTGTTTCTTCTTCAGCATCTTTTGTTTGGCTCCCAGGCCTGTTAAACTGTTTTTGTCTCAGAGCACTCTAATCATAACGTGCCTCAGTTCATTCGAGAGTGACTTTTGTAAAGTACACTTTCTTCTCAGGTGTTGTAGGGTTAATTATTTACTGATTATAGAATTCACAGTGAAAAGTGTTCTTTAAATGTAAGGAATGTTTTTCAAGAACTCTGTGATGCCAATAAAATGTTCTCTAATAAAACAAATGATTCTAGGTAATTCAAAGACTTGGCCTAAGATAATAAGTAAAATGACGTAACTAGAAATAGAAAAAATACTGCGGTTGTAAGTGTGTCTAGTTTATGGACGTATAAAATCAACAAATCAATCCCAAACACTATCTTTTGTAATATCATTAGGCAGAGATGAATAGAGTAGAAACTAGCGATCCTATTGAACTGAAAAGGAAATTGGGACACAGAAAGCTTTAGTCTTTGTTGTTGTGTCAGACACTCCTTTTGGCTACGATCTGACTGCTCCTCCATTCCTTGAAAATTCAAGTATAAATATCAATAATAAGAGAATTCTACCGCTGGAAGATCATTTATTCTGACTCTCTCCTTTTACCAAAGAAGAAACTGAAGCCCTTCAAGACAGAGATACCCAGCGTTATTCAGAGAAAGGTTCTTAAACATCCTGGCTTCTAGAACTCTTAGGAAAATTATACACAAAATGTGACTGCTCATTGGGCCCTAACACATTTGCACCCTAACACACCTTGCCTTGTTATTTTAATGGCATGAAAATAAAATTCCCACGCATAATCTACAGAGGCTCATGCGGCGTCGCGGCCCGCGCTCTCCCCTCTCGGCTTTCTCCCAGTTCTACTCGGGCCTGGGCTTTCTGGGTCAAGGTTGGTTCTCTCCTGCCCCCGGCCCCCGGCCCCCAGGCATGGCCGACACCCAGGTCTTTGGATAGAGAGCCTCAAAGAACCTAACAGGAAGGGAGAGGTGAAGTCTGATTGTGATCACTCAGTCGAGGTCTTCTGCAAACAACCCTGGGGCCACCTCACGAGGCCTCTCACCCCAGGGTCCCCCTCGGTGCCTCAGCAGCCGTCCTCTCCCCCTCCCTGGGGCTCCCCGTGGGCGGCCACCTCGGCCGGGGGTGATGGCGCCCGCGAAGCCAGCAGGCCGGGCGGGGGGGCCTGGCCTCACTCCCCACTGGGGGCTCTGGGGTCAGGAGAACATTCCGGGCTCCACACTGAGAGCCGTCCCACGAGAGATGGGCTGGTCGGGTGTTGTGATTACACAGGCGACGGTGCGCCGGGGCCCCCGCGGCCCGCCAGGCCCTCGCTCTTCCTCTTCCTCCTCCTCCTCACTCCCAGCTCGGCTGATCTCCCGCCATGACTCAGCGCTTCTCGCAGCCTGCGGGCTGGGTCGCCGGCTCCTCCCGCCGCGCCCACCCCC